CCTCCGTCCTTCCCTTCAGTCTTCTATCTGACCTCCGTCCTCCCCTTCAGTCTTCTATCTGACCTCCGTCATTCCCTTCAGTCTTCTATCTGACCTCCGTCCTCCCCTTCAGTCTTCTATCTGACCTCCGTCCTTCCCTTTAGTCTTCTATCTGACCTCCGGCCTCCCCCTTCAGTCTCATATCTGACCCCCGGCCTCCCCCTTCAGTCTGATCTCCGTCCTCCAGTTGTCCCGGCTCCTCCCCTCTTCCTCTGATGTCACTGCACACTGGGAGCTTCTCACAATGTGCATTAGAAGTTGCAGCAAGTCAGATAGAGCTCCGCCCCATTTCCTGGCTGGAGGACGTCCAGCATCATCTAGCATTTCCTCTGCAGCCTTCCTGTCCCTGACCCCGCCCCTTTCATTCATTGGATATCAGTTCTGTCAATCATTGAGGTTTAGCATCACATGTGGGCGGTACGTAGGGCAGTCTGTATGCAAATACAGTTTGCTTGGAAACAGCCTCTCCTCCAGACTGACACCCACCCATCAAGGCATTTTGATATTTGCATGACTCCACCCAGGAGCCCGCCCACTGCTTGCATCAGGACTCCTGAGAGGAGTACTGAGGCCGGGTGCTGTGATGTTTTCAGGAAGCTATGTACAGCCCCTCTGCCGGCCCCTCCCACCAGCCATGATCCGCCTGCATTGCATAGAGAAACACGGACTAAAACAAGCTCTGTCATGGAAAGGGTTTTATTGAAGAATATACTGAAATGAAAGTCTTTGTTCCCGGAGTCCATCTTGGAATCGATATCCGGTTGGTGGTTTTGGTTTTTCTTTAGCCCGGCGTTTCCTCTATAAAGGTGTGTTTGGAGCCGGACAGAAGTAACATCTCATAATGTCTCCTCCGGCCTCCCAGCCAATCAATACTCGGATTAATGACCTCAGACACGACAAGCCATTTAGACAACGGACGCCGCGCCGCGTTCACCGAGCAGCAGCTCCATTTATTTTCATCACAGACAGCCGAGTCGCTCAGCACAAGGTCACCAACCTCCGGCCACATCATCCATCACTGTCACTGACTCTCCGGGTCATAAATCCAGTGTGTGGCGCCCGACCGTGTCAGTAGAGGGGACCCGGTGGCATACCTCATCTCCCCGGGTGAACGGCCCCTCCTCTCTATGCCGGCGTCCATTAGATGGTCGCGCGATGGCGTCAAGGCAGGGCGTCACCCGGTCTCCGCTCCGGGTCACACACGGCCGCGGGGCGCCCCTGACCGGAACCCCCCATTCAGATCGCGCTGGGTACAGACAACACAACCCCAGAGTGGAAGACCAATCTAAATCCGGGATAGAAAGTACCAACAGACAGGGTACCCAAACCTTTGTATGCACCACAAAGACTGCAGACACGCTACGGGAGACGGTCAGGGACTGCAGACGCGCTACGGGAGACGGTCAGGGACTGCAGACACGCTACGGGAGACGGTCAGGGACTGCAGACGCGTTACGGGAGGCGGTCGGGGACTGCAGACACGCTACGGGAGACGGTCGGGGACTGCAGACACGCTACGGGAGACGGTCGGGGACTGCAGACACGCTACGGGAGACGGTCGGGGACTTCACTCCATACGCCCCCCATCTGTCACAGCTGGCATTTCATACCCCCCCCATCTGCCACAGCTGACACTTCCTACCCCCATATCCATCGTCACTCTCCTCTCCATCTTTTTGCCCTAAAACAGGATTGTGTCTCTCGTAGCAGAGCCGGGCGTGGGTGGGAAATCCTCTTACACAAGTGAAATCCTTCTGTGAAGTGATTTGTCTGCAGTGTGTGCCCCAGCGCCAGGCGTGGGAGGACCACTCTGCTTGGCTAAGGACGACTTCTTCTTATAAAGTTTTCTTTTCTGCAGGCAGCAAATGACCGATATAAATAATTCAGCGGAATTAATAAAATTGCCCCATTTTGCTGTGTATGGGCAGAAGAACGCACGCCGCCCTGCTGAGGAAAAACAGTGACGTCATCACATTGCTTTTACCCCATTCGCTCCGGCTGATCACATGACATCATAACACTGTCAGGTTTGGCTACACTTCTTATCTTTTTGCCTCCTAGGAATAATGTTACATTACATTT